TTGCCAAGGCAGTCAGGGTTCAGAGGGTGAAGCACTTGTTGCTATACTGCGACCCTAAGGTCCTTGGCAGATTAATTAACATTAATTAACACACTACCTGTGCGTTCACCAGCCAGCAAGACCGCTTTTCACGTCCAATTCATGTTTTCACCTCTCTTGCATCGAGCAGGCCAAGCCCAGCCGTCGCCGGAACCGCAACCGCCGCAACAAGAAGAGCGGTGCCAGTGCCAGTGGCGGATACGGAGAGGCTGGGTGAGGAGGGTAACTGCACAAGGGAACCAAAGGGATTTTAGCCGCAATGGCTGCTTCGAGGTATCAAGGACTCCGGCTCGTTATCAGTAAACAAAATGGCAGTTATCACACCTTAAAACGACGGTTCCAGAATAGTCCAGAATGAGGTTTTAAAGAGTTCAAAGCTCAGTCAAGTGTTAAGTTTCTGGTCAAGCTGCTTGTCTCTCCTTTTTCAGTTCGCGCGTGGTTTTTCCGCCCGCGAGGAAGAGTGAGAGGACAACTGGACCAAAGTGTCCACAAATCGATTCAAAAAGTGTCCACTTTCATGAATTGGCATGCAATCATGGTGCTGGGCTGGGAAGGGTCGGGTCTCCAGCCAGAATGTTCTGGACCTTCACCTTCACCCGGAGAATTTCCTCCGGTCCGGACATTGGACCAGTCCGGAATTGAAGAATTGATGTTGTTGATTTGGATGAAACCATTGTAGAATGACCCCCAGCGGAAACCTGAGTGGAAGGGAATATAAAGTGGCAGGAGGAAGGATGGCGAGTTGAGAATTTGAGAAGGAGTTCAGTCTCAATTCGTCTCAATGTTCAAACCTTCAGCTTCCTCAGGACCATTCCGGTTCTCAAAATGGATCCCCTACTGTAGGGTCCTAGGGGCCACCATGGTGAGGTGATCCTGTTCCAGAGGATTTGTTGGGATTTGACCATGCTTTTTTCACGACACTTCGAAGAAACATGGGAAACTTATCCCATCCTCGACCTGTGTCCCTCGTCACCAAAAATGAGGGTCACTCGGATAGCGGCGGTTTGTTCTTGGATTTGATGAGTTCCTGTTGATTCAGGTATCATGGAACATGGTTTTCCATGGCAAACCCTGCATGTGTGGCAAGCCTGATATGTTTGTTGGTTGTGTCCATGGACTCTGAAGTTTTGAGACCTTTGCTGCTTCTCTCAATGTCCAAAGAAGTTGTCATTGGGCGGCTGTCTCAGGGCCACACCAGAACATGAAAAACGCTAACTTTGGCTCCAGGGTGGTACTGTTTGCATGAGACCATGGTATGTGTGCGCAAGGCCAAGTTGCTTCACCAGCCAGAAACAGATCCGTCGATCCGTGCAACCCCCCCGCGGGCGCTTCGTCAAGAGAGTGACCACCTTCGTCAAGAGAGTCCACCATCGCGGAGAGTCCACAGTCCACCGGACGCAGCTATAGCATACTCCCTGAAGAAGCTTCGGTTCGGACCATCCATCGCCACAGCTTCCAAGGGAAAGACCTGAAGACCTGTTGAGAAAGATCAGCAGACGAGTGCAGACGAGTTAGAACGGGTGCTTTCAGGGGTCCTCTTGGTGGCCAGGCAATCCTTCTCCGAAGGCACACGAAGTTTGATCCAACATATTGGCTGGTGCAAGAGGTTTTTGCCTCAGCATTCCAATTCTCAGCAAGACCCAACTAAGACCCTTCACACTCCCAAAGAGGTTCCACCAACCAAGCTCACAACCCGCAAATCACACCAAACCTTCAAAACGAATCAAAGACCTTCGAGCTTCGTCCACCACGGTGTCCAACACCGCAGCCATGTCGAGTACCTTCAGTGGCGCCATGTCCTCACGGTGGATGCGGCTTTGGCCCATGGGCTCTCAACCGGGTGCGCCCAGTGGATCAGTGGCCATCGCCGCTTGGCCAAGCGAGAAGCCGCAGAGTGAAGCCCCAAGGCAGAATACCTTGGCGACCTGTATATTGAAGATGATGAGTATGGTCCGGTGGATGACTGACATTGATATTCTCTTTGGTCAGAAAAATGAATAGCCAAGCCAAAGCTTAACATGGAGCAGTACCTGGAGCACCTGGTCAGGTGATCTACCAAATCTACTCAGTCTACTCTGCCCGTCCAGATGTCACCAGAACGTTCAGTAGACCAAAGCCATTCACTGTACAGCACTGGTCCGAAATGGTCTCCGCAACTAGCCCAGACTATGGGATTCTGAAGTTTTCCTACAGGCCCTGCTGGAACTTAGCCCCACAAAGCAAGTCTTCCATCTCTCTGCTGAGGTGGACCTTCCTTGCCATGACTCCACCGTGTGTTTGTCTCGCTGCTGGAACTCGCACGCGATGAGGCCAAGCAGGGCGGATCCATGCCGAACGTTCTTTCGCGCACGGTCAGATTTGCAACTGCGCAGGGTGATTGGAAGGGACTATATGCCCGGTGGTTGGTGGAACATGTAGAGAGGAGTGGATTTTGGATTCCGGTGATACAGGACTCAGGAGGAGTTCACATTCATGTCTATACTATCTTCCATGCCTTTGGAATGGCAAATCTCATGCAAAGGTGTGCTCGAAACGACCGTCAATAATCGCAACAACCAGTGCAAAGATTACGAAAGCCAGCCTTCGTAGAAGGCGCCAGCGGAGTTGTGTTTGGCGAACGAAGTGAGTAGTTAGGGGGTCTGGGGGGGGTTGCCCGCAAAAGGTACACGTAAACTCGGCACATGCTGGGGGAGGAGGGTGCGTCGAGGGAAGGTTTTTTGAGGTTGTGTTGGAGGTGATTTTTGAGGGGTGGTGACGCAAGAAATACAATTTGCAATCATTTGCATCATCCGAATGGAAAGGTGTAGTTGGCACCTTGCCAGGTATAGAGACCCAGGGTAGCTATAGTGCAGCTACCAGGTATAGTACTTCAAGTTCCCTTTTCGTCAACCGCTCGATAACCTCTACACACGCACAGCAAGCCACAGCTTTGAAGCGTCATGCGCGCGATACCTGGGAACAGAATTGTAGCTACCGTGGGTCCGTATGAACGCAATGTTGCTATACCTCTTACACACCTATACCAGTTCAAAGCACGAATGAGACTTCATAGCTGTGGTTTGCTGTGCATGTGTGGCTCGAGAAAGATATACGTAAACTCTGGAAGGTGATGCTTTGATGCTTTTGGAGCGGGTGGTGACGCACTCGCCAAC